TTTAACTGTATATATTTTAATTATAAAAAATTATTGAATTTATATATAGTGACTAATAGAATTATAGAATTATATATACAATTTTATTAATAAAATTGCACACATAATTTCATAATTCTGTTAGTCATTATATAATAATTTTGTTAGATTAAATCTAAAAAATTTGAAAAAAATTTATATTAAAATATGTAATATATAATATTATTTTTATTTTAATATAAAAATAAATAAATTTGTTTTGTTATTGTATTCTTTTTGATTATTATTATATATAAAATTTTTAATTTATCAATAAATATTTTTATTTTTATATTAAAATAAAAATTATAATTTATATTTAAAATATATTTTTTTTGGATTTTTTTAGATTTAATCTGACAAAGTTATTTTAATTGCAAAGTTATTATAAAAATTTTTTATAATTAATTTTATAATAAAATTGTATATATAATTTCATAATTTTGTTAATTACTGTAACTTGTTATTAAAAAATATAAAAATTTTAATTTTCAAAATTTAGAAAAAAAATAATAGATAATAAATAAAAAATTAACAAAATAAAAATCAATAAAAATAACAAATAAATAAAATTCGAAATACTTTAAAAAATGTTCTGAAATATTTCAAAGAATATTTAATAAAGTTTTTATAATTAATTACACATTTTAATTTAATTAATAAATTTTTTTCTTATTTTTATTTTGAAATTTCAATGTGCAGAGAATCAAGGATAATAAAAAAATTATATATAGCAAATGTTGGAACTGTAGGTAATTATACAATTTGAATTATCAGAACTATTGAAACTCTGCTGCGTAATTTAGGGGTGTCAAATAAACTATTTAACGCATGGAACCTCCCGCAGTGAATCCCTTGATCTTGATAAAATATCGCTGTGTAACACTGACTTGTTCTGAAAGTTTCAAACCATAAAAAAGGTGAAATAAAGTAAAAAAAGGCTGCGTGTTTATGTGTATGAATAATAATTAATAAAAAGAGCATTATCTATTTTATCTGTTAACATTAGTTTTTAAAACGAAAAATAGCGATGCAAGCTAAACCCCTTAATGAGGTTGAAGAACATGAGGAGGGTGAACTTCCACAAGAACAACTCTTGATTAACGAAGACCACGTCAATGGAGAAAATGACGTGAATGAAGCAATTAATGTTAATGGTCAAGAATTTCACGAACAAGTCGATGAAGTATTAATACAGAGCACTATCGTGGAAAACGGCGCGAAACCACTTTGTCGTTACTTCCAACGAGGATTTTGTCGATACAGCGATTCTTGTAGATATTCTCACGACAATGGCGCGCCAGTTTCCTTACCAAAATTCGGCTTACTATTACATCCTAGGAGTGCAACGCCTTGCCGTTTCTTTTCGAAAGGTTATTGCAGATACGGAGATGCATGTAAATTTGCGCATCATAATGGAATTCCTGGTAACGGGGCTGGTCGTTTCCATCCTAACGGTAACGGACATCTACATCATGGAGGTGTTAATATAGAAAATGAATGGGGATTCACCGGAGTTGAACAAAGCGAAGTTATAGTAGAGGAAACTAAAACATGGGATGAAGATACACAAGAAGATCAGATGAATCCGCAAGAATATTCTTGAAATCAACCTTTCTTTATTTGTGTAGCTTCAATACCAGTTAATAGGAGTATTCGAAGAAAATGCCACTGGCGCATTCTGTATTATACTTTTTGGGCTATTTATCTAAACCAATATCGGATAATTACCCTCTTGTATATATACCTTTCATATTTTGCTATTATTAATATATCTTATTCAAAATCTTATGTCGTTTCAACCTCATTTTGTAATAATCCGCTTTTAATCTTAATAATTTTCTTTTCAGCAATATTTGTTTGGACATTAATTTCATATCAAAAAATTGTATATATGCAGTTTTTAATCAAAAGTTTCATTTCCTTTTCATAAAAATTGATGTATTTTTGCTATTCTAGGGCATAAAAAACTATACATTTATTAGGGGGTTGGCTAATGCAATAATAATGGTCCTTTCTTTGTGCCTTGTATTTTTGTTACAGATTAGAAAATCATTCTAGCTATTAATTACGCGCAACAAAATTAGTGTAATGAAAATATCGAATAAATATAAGATGGGGACAAATATTATGAATGTGGTGTTTTATCCAAGACATTTTTATAGTCGATAATCTAATATAATTTTTCTGAAGAATGCATCTTGTAAGAAAATATTACGAAAAGTAACCTTGTAAACTCCGAAGTCTCTTTTGACTCTGCGAGCCTTCTATTGAATCTGGTGCATCACCTAAATCGTTTGAGAAAAGAAACGTCAATAAAACTATTAGAAAATAGATAAATACAGTCGTCCCTCCATATAATCACACCCTCAAGTGATTTTAAAGAGGTTGTGATTATATGGAGAGTATATTGTAAGGCGTGTGATTATAGAGCAGTATCCAGTTTACATTTTTGCGCAGTAATTTACTGCATTTGATTCTGTAAATCTGCATGTGACGTGAACCCATAAAAAGACTTAAATATGCGATCATATGACAATCGATTTTTAAATAAATTCAAACGCGATAACTCGACATCCAGTGATCGGATTAGTGTAAACACTATATACATGTATATCGATCTGGTATGATCGCATATTTAAGCATTTTATTGGGTTGGACACCCTATATCACACCGGTTCTGCAAATTCTGCAAATTGCAGTAGATTTGTGTAAATTCTGCATGTGCAGTAAATTGGACACTAATGTGACTGTATAAATACATTTACCTAGAAATTTCTTTGTAAGAGATTTGGTTTCTGTTCCGCTTAGCAGAACTGCTTGTGCGACTTCAATCAATTTAAGTAGCAGTTCATAATACTCGGTTGAGTAAGGCCCCTCTGTCATTTCAAGAATCTAAAAAGAAAAGCATATTTAGAATAAAGACGAAGTGCAAACTTATGCAGAATTATCGTATTTATTTACCTTACGGACGAAATAAGATAAGTGGCTTCCATCCGAAAGACGCTTTGAATGTTTCTCGACGAAATTTAAGATTGGAATAACATATCCCAATTGTACAAGATACAACATCCGATCAAGTATTAATCTCCGAATAGTCATTAGGGTATCAGGAGACAATGATCGATTTTGAAGTAAAAGATTATCAGCAAACAGTGAAAAAAGGTGTTGATGCTGTAAAGGATGCTGAAAAGCTATCTTTAAAAAAAAGAAAATTAAAGCATACTCATCTCGTGATAATCAACTACTAAAAGTAAACAATGTAACAAGTATCTCACCTCTTCTAACAGGAGTAAAGGTAAAGAAGATTCATGCATTTTGAAGTACTTTTCATAGTATGACGTTTCAAGAAGTAGATATCGACACCAAAAGATAAGTGCCATAGAAGCTGCTGGGACACTAAATTTACATCGTTGATTACATAAATTCTACAATTATGAGAACGAATAATTATCATACGTACTGGATATAATCGACGACTTCTGAGATAACATTATTTAATTCTGTCCCAAATGATCCTTTCTTCGATATTGCAGCTTCAAGTTTTTTCAATATACTAAAGGTTTCATTTAATTTCGAGGTATCTAACTAGAAATGCATATTTATAATAGTTGAAGAAAATAATTATATAGAAAATCAGAAATAAGACAATTATATAATATACCGTTTTATCTTCATTTTCTTTTACACTTGCGGCAAAGGCAATCAAATATAGATACTTTGCTCGAAGATCTTCTTTTAGTTGCGCTGCCTTTGTATTTGGAACAAAGATTGTAGTCATCAAATAATCTATGCATCAAGGAAAATGAAATAGCATAAAAAAGTTAAAAGATTAATGGAAAGTAAAACTTTTTGTAAATAAGCATACACGCCACCCCCCCCCCCGATATAACAGATCTGTCGGGCTGAAAAATCAGTCCGTTATAGTGAATCTCTGCTACAGCGAGGGACCCGTTTTAACGGAGTTTGCTATAGCGGGGGTGGAGTGTATAAACAATTCTAATAAATAAAAAAAATAAACTCACGCAATAGTTCAGGATCTCTTAGATAAATAGGGGATGGTGCATCGGGACCAGAATAAACTTTGTGAAGCTAAAAGCAAAGAATACAAATACTTTATTTAAAAAAGGTTACGAATAGTTGTGGCGAAATAAGTATTAAACAAATCAAATTCATTACCGCAACTACATCTCCAGGAGTTGGTGGTGATCGATTTATTACATTACCCACCGTCGGTGGTGGGTTATTTAATAAATTTCTCAAAAGTACAACAAATTCTGCTCTATAAAATTTAGAAATTACGATTTCGTGTATTTATTTCTTTTTATGTAGAAATGGGAAAAAAATCAATCTAATGTTTTTGTAATTGCTTCCAAGATTCTTACCAAATTACATCATACCTATTAGAGGCCGCCCTCACACCTTGCTCCAACCCTTTATATATTTTACGCAATGAATATCCTCCTTTTTCATTGGATAGACTTTTAATCATAGATTGCGCAATTAAGTAAGAGTGAGGCTGCAGACTCGCAGTTTCCTAATTAAAACAATTGTTAATATTAAAACATGTTAAACAGCAGATAAGCATTAAAAAACCTCACCACCAAATCAGGCAGGAGCTTTTCAACTCCACTGTCATCTGTTCTTATTATTTTGTTCAACTGATCAATAATAACTTTCAATTGTACATTGGCATATGTAGATGTCGCTGGTAAATGTTGAATTTCATGAGTCAAGCCTTTCTCTGATATGGCCTAAATTAATTAACGCGCGTGAAAATTAAAAATTGTAATTAACTAAAAGATACACTCAATCCCCGTTATAGCAGACCCCGTTAAAACAGATCTCTCGCTTTAGTGGAACGAATGCGTCAGAAAGGAGTTTTTATACTGTTATTTTGTTAATGACATTCTAGCGGAGATTCACCATAACGGATTGATTTTTTTAGCCCGACAGATCCGTTATATCAGGGGTGAGTGTATGATTTATTACAAACATGGCTCTAGATTTTTCACCTTTATAAGTATGTTAAGGAAAGAGCTTGTAGGATATTTAACTGATAATTGGTAAATAATATTACGCCAATATGGACTTTCTATTAAACCCAGAGTATTTTGTAATAATTGCTAAAAAAAAATCTCAATGTAAACGGCAGCCAATTCATTTAATAAGAAAAATGCGCGGAATATCATTGAAATTCAAAATACCTTGGAATTTTTATTGAAAGACTGCTCAATGCAAACATTATCATATTTATCTAAAACCATTCTACTCATGGTATCCTGGATTAATGCTTCCGTATCGTCTTCACAAAATTCATTAAATAAATCTTGCATATATCGTATCTGCTCTGAAGCACCGGTATAACTATCGGACAAGTATACAACCAAATCGGAAGGATTTCCGGATGTTTCAATAAAACTAGTTGCAAGTTCTGAAACGCCCGACTCCAAAATGGAGTCTTGAAAGTCAAAAGTCAAATATGGATTTAATATATAAGTCACATATTAACCAATTAATTATAAAAAATTAATGACCTGGTCGTTTTAGAAGATCAGAAAGATCCCTTTCTGTGTTATCCTAAAGAAAAATGATTTATTAATGACTCCACTTCAAGAACGAGAGGAAATACAAAAGACGATACCATTTTGAATTTTGGAAGAAAACAAATTATTGCAAATCACAAGACACAGGGACCCGGAAAAATATGATATTGATTTGCTAAAATGTGTATTTATTTGGATTTTGGCCGGCATTAGAAATAATTCAAGTCGAAACATAGGGTGTCCAGAATTATTCGATGCGAATTTATGCACCCAAAATACGCGTGCATCAAGAATGATTGGTTAGATTTGCAGATCAATAAACAATA